GAGAAAGGAGGGGCGGTGGCGGTACCCAAAGTGGATAAACAAAGTACATGAACAAATTAGCACATGAACAAAGTGTATGAACAAAATTGAATAAATGTAGCGAATCGGCGAAACTAAACGAAAGCATATGAATCGAAAAAAGAGAACGAATAATGAAAATAATCAAAACAGTTTTGACACCAAAAAATTGGACATGGGTAAAGTTAGTGAGTTACTGAAAAAATCCGAGATGTCAGGATCGACAGTGAGGCACATGCAACCAGCTCTGCTTCCGATGCTTGGCTGTGTCCAGCATAGTAGAGTTCACTTCCTGAGCAGGGGGTGGGAGGGGTGGAGAGCGCGTGAAGAGCGATGAGCAAAGTTCAGGGAGAGAGAGAGGTCGGGGGCGGGGGGCGGCGCGGCGCCTAAAGCGTCTTGACAGTTGCTGCACGTAGGCACAAAACTCGATTACTAATTAAGACGTTAATGGGTTTTAATTAAAACCTCTCCGCCGCCGTATTGCTTTCCTCTTTATGTGTCTTTCTCTCTCTCTGCTCCCCTCTGCTTTTCTCTTCTTGCCATCTCCCCGCCCACTCTCTCTCTCTCTCTCTCCCTCTCTCTCGCTGTCGCTGTGAGAGGGAGGGAGGGTCGTTACAGCAGCACTTCTTTTGTCCCCGTTATCGCCGCACTCTCCTCTCGCTGTCGTCGGGACGCTAAAGACCAGACCGCCCCCTGCCTGCTCCGCTCTGCGGCGCCACAGCGACAAATAACTTCCAGTGGAGAGTCGCGCGGGGGCGGGGGAGCTGGAGCAATGACGTCCTTGGAGGCGGGAGAGTCGAGCTGGCTGGCACTCGCACCTCCTCCTGCACGGCATGCAAGGCGCTCTCCCGGTCGACGGACACACCACGTGCGGCAACACGTCCAGGACGTCCGTCCGTGCGACCGCGAGAAGAGAAACCCGTTATACGCACGCGCACGCCCGCCAACTGCCGCGCCGGGACAAACAAACACAGACGGTGACTCCCGGCGGCCGCGGCGAGGTCGTCGTCAGGAAGGCGTTTGGGCGGAAGTAATCTCTTTAAAGTCCCTATGCCGCTCCACACCGGGTCTCGCGCCCGCCGCGCCAAGCCACGCGCCCGCTATGATGACTTGGTCCTAATCCGGGCTTTGTCCCGACCGCAGCGCTATATTCAAATCGACCGCCACTCCAGGCAGGCGCGAGACGTCATCATTTAAATCCGGGTCGCGACGTCGACGGGGTCGGGCGGGGGTCTTCTTTAGTGATCTAGACGCGCGGGTCGCGTGGAGCGCTCCTCCGCCGCGTGGGATGCGATACTGTACCCAGAGAACCATTTCGTTGGTGCAACAAAATTAGCGCCGTTGCAATCAAGATTTTGTTTCTGAAACCGGACTAAAATGTTGGTACCTCGGTTTTACCCAACATGGTAGGGTAGGAACAATCAAAGTCAGCTTGGCAAAATTACTTAATCTCTGCCGATAAAATTTGTCGCTATCATGGCTAACTTTTTTCGGTTTTGAAAGTTGGTCCCCTAGTTTAGTGGCTGTAAACCATTTTCTGAGTAAGAAAAAAAAAAGATCGCCAAAAATACAACAAATAAAAAATAAACTAGATTCAAAAGTTGAATTGGAACAATTGAATTCACGAATTTATGGCTCACCTATTTTACACTGGTTGTGCAAAGAGCTCGGCAGGGCGGGACGGGGGCGTGGCGCGCGAATGGCGTGTCGGGCGGGAGATGGAGATGTCAACGGCAGCGGAGGGACCCGCGAGGGACCCTTCCCTTCCAGCGGCTCAGGGCGTCGCGCGTCGCGCAGGACATAATCACCATTATAATAATCCGACGACAATAGAAAATGGATTCGTGTTGTTTGGCGATCTCACTCGGCCTGCAGCAGCGCTCGCGGCGGGGCAAGGGGAAAAGGGGGGGGGGGGTTGATGATGACGCTGTTGATGTTGTTCCTATGGAGGGCCATCCCACCGCGTCCAGCGCTGTCCCCGGCCGGCTCCCGTTTAGTCGCCGTGGCGTGCAAGTGAGCAGCCGAGCCGACTGGAGAGGACCAGGAGCAGGGCGGGGGTGGCGGTGCGAGCGCGGGCTGCTTAAATATTTAAATCCGCGTCCTCGTATGACGAGGTGTCGGCAGAGGCCTTTATCAGAGGACTCAAATCGCGGCATTTGTTTGATATCATTATTCGGATCTGCAAGGGCGGCTCGTGCCGGGGGTTTTGGTAGCTTGTTGGGACGAGGCTGTCGCACGCTCGGTTTCAACTTCACACCTTACTGGACCGAAATCCCTACCGCTGCTTCCATCTGTCTCACCCCTTCTTGCTCGCTCCTTGTTCTCGCTCGCTCCTTGTTCTCTCTCGCTCCCTCTCCCTTGCCGAGTGGAGGAGACGCGCTGCATAATGGCGCACAGCCCCGTGTCATTTGATAATTTCAAAGGCCGGCACCCTTCCCGCTGCCATACATCATCTTCCGTTTTTAAAAAAGGCGCTGCCTAATACTTCCAGCAAATAGACGCCCCTCCTCCTAGTCGCGCGTGCCAGCCGCAGCCTCCCCCCGCCGCACACGCCAACGCGGCACGATGCGTTTTTGTCTCTATTTGCACAGCAGCCTGTCCTTTACAGCCGCATTCAAAACGTTTTTATTTTTCGCAACACGACGTATATGCGAATTCTTATCATATTCGTGCCACACGAACTGGGCCATATGAGTTTTGCGTCTTCTTGCAAAGTATGAAAATTAAGCATAAAATGCATAAAATGCTTATAATGCATAACATGCATAAAATCCATAAAATGCATAAAACTTACTGTGCGGGATATTTATAGGGTCGATAAGAAGTGGATAAAATAAAGAGATAATAGCTGGGTGCAATGAATAATTGTCCGTGCAATTTCTATGTCGCTGCCGCTGCTGGACTTCTTCCCAGCCCCAGCCTGCTGCACGAGAGAGGAGTTAGTAAAGGGGAGGAGGGTGGGGGGAGTGACTGGACATTGCCGATCGCGTATTTAATAACACAATTGAGTCCGTTATGGAATACATATCTGTGCGGCCATGATCCGACATCATCCCGACCCCTTTACAGAGAAAGGGGTGAGTCGCGGAGGGAGGGAGGG